GTGTAGGGGATGCTGACGCCGCATGCTTGTTTTATTTGTTGATTGTTGTGTTTGACTTAATCGCGACATTTTGTCGTTTGCCGGTGTATGAGCTAAGTCGTTGCTTTGCACAATTGTTGTTGTTCATCTTCCTTCCAAAGGCTAATAAAGATTTCTATTGAGCTATGTTTCGTCATTCATTAGCGCATTGCGACTTTGTACGCCTTTGTCTGTTATCAAGTTTGTTTACTCCTTTAGTACAGGTCAAATTCTGCCTTTTTTGAGAAAAGCATGAAAAGTGTGCTGCGGTCGTTTTCACGGATTCACGGTCGTATCGGTTGGTTTTTTAAAACCAGAATTTTTCGACTGCAAATGACAGTTCATACTTAGGTCGTATCAAGTCGAAACGATTGTACATGGCTACAAGTAAATCTCCGGTAAAGTTCAGTATGTTCTACTTTGAGATAGAGACTTCAGACTGATTCATTTTACTAACTGCTCATTCATTTGTAACATGTATCTTCATGTTCTTGTTGAAAATGTGTATGTTTCGGGGTGCGCATGAACACAAGTATGTGTATATGTTTCACAAAAAGTGCTATTTATGAAACTTACGTTTTAGGCTGATTTCTCCGTTTCTGATATCGGTCGTCTATACGAAATTCCGCGCGAAGCTGTTAACGCACTGGGTTACCAAAGACTGCTTCCCTCAAATCTGATAAAACAAGTTGATACTCTTGGAGAGTTGGTAACAGTTATTAGGGAACCCATTCTTGAGGTATGTTTAGGAAAGCTTTTCCAAGCTTGATCATCTACTCTTACTGCGTTCAGGTATCTTCATGTATGTCCGTAGTACGCCCCTCATTTCCTGCCCTTAGGATGGTACTATGGGGTCCATTTGGTACCGGGAAGTCAGTCACGCTTAACCAAGCTGTATATCTTGCATATACACAGAATATGGTTATTGTGCAGCATCCCGGCGGTAAACCATTTGTTATATGTGCATTTAATCACCACTGTGTGAATATGTTTTAAACAATATGGGAATTAACCCAAA